GTCATATATACCTAGAGCAGTGATGGCTAACCTTTTTGTTGTCGTGTGCCGAAAGTGCGCACGCATGCACGCGAGAGTGTGCACCTATGCTTGCACCCATAATGCAATGCACCTGTGATCTCCCACCCCGTGCGCATGCACAGGGGACCCCCTGGCTCCCTGCCCCCCTGCGCATGCACACATGTCTCTTGCATCCCCCCACCATGGATCTGCGGCAGATACCCGAAAATCAGCTGGATGGTGGGAGGTATGCACGCATGTGCAGTGGAACTAAGCTGAGGGGACGGTTTGCGTGCCCGCAGAGATGACTCTGTGCGCCATCACGGACCTAGCGCATGCCTCACTTTCTCCAAAGTTCAAAAGTCAATTATCCTTCTTTTTGCATGTTTTACAGAATATTATATTCCTGGATTTATAAGAAATTATTTTCCCATGATATAAAAATCTATTCAAAACTAGGTCATCAAGGTTTGCCGCCTTTGTTAATTTCTCATTCCACAGTCTTGTCAGTTACTTGTTCTTCTACACTTAGGTGAGAGAAATTTATGCAGCACACACATGAACATTCAAAAAGAGCACAGTGTAAGTAGAATTAATGGGGAAAAGTTTTCTTGTATTTTCTTATAGAAAAAGTGAAGTAATGCATGCCAGCATATTTTTAAGAAAGCGCAAAAAAAGTATAAACTGTTACTTTTATTTCTATGCGAGGATAGAATAGAAAATAGTAGCAATAAAGCAGAGGTCCCCAACCCCGTTTTGTGGACTGGAACTAGTCCACAGCATGTCAGAAACCAGTCCGTACAAACAAGCGAAGCCCCATCTACGGGATGCAGGCAGCACACAAAACCACGCCTCCTCTGGTCCGTGGAAAAACCTTTCTCCACAAAACCGGTCCCTGCTGCCCAAAAGAATGGGGGCCACTGCAATAAAGGATATTTTTTAGCTATTCAACAGTAAAAATCTTTAATTAATACCAGTACAGTACACAACTCACATTTAGAATAGAGTAGAGTAGAGTAGAGTAGAATAAAATAGAATAGAATAGAATAGAATAGAATAGAATAGAATAGAATAGAATAGAATAGAATAGAATAGAATAGAATAGAATAGAATAGAATAACAGAGTTGGAAAGGACCTTGGAGGTCTTCTACTCCAACCGCCTGCCTAGGCAGGAAACCCTACACCACTTCAGACAAATGGTTATCCAACATCTTTTTAAAAACTTCCAGTATTGGAGCATTCACAACTTCTTGAGTCAAGTTGATCCACTGATTAATTGTTCTAGCTGTCAGGAAATTTCTCCTTAGTTCTAAATTGCTTCTCTCCTTGATTAGTTTTCACCCATTGATTCTTGCCTGCCCTCAAGTATCTGGTAGTATCTGTCTGGTAGTATTTTAGCCTTGAAGCAATATCTATTCTACAATTGCTTGGGTTAACAAGCATGTTAGCCTGTCACCTAACGTAAGAGAATATGTGGGCTGCCTCTATTTCTTCATGGAACGATGATTGTTACTATTAAGAAGACCCACTCTTCAGTCACTCCTTGGTGAACAGTAACTACAGATGAAGTCACAGAACAGATAATACCATTAAATAATATAGCAACTGAACTTTCAGGAGTGCTTTCCAACCTTTTTTAAAAAACCTTATTTAAAGAAAAGTAGGTTGGTCTTCTGCCACCATTCTTTTACAGAAAACAAGCAATACTTTACTGTGCAACCTTGCTGTATTAGTGCTGCTAACAGCAGTGGTAGCAATGTGCTAAGTGGAAATTTGATAGGCACATGCCAATGCTTGCTCTGGTTCTCTTTTCTTTCCTCTTTTGCAGCTAGCTAAGACATTCATAGCCACTTATAAATCCCGGGAAAGCAGCATGGGAATAAGGCATCCAAAAGACATTCCTTGATGTTTCAGAGGGATCCTAATCACAATGTACACTCAATTAAGATTGAGCTATACTCAATTAAGATTTAGCTATTTGGGTCTATGAGAGCTAGTTTAGTGTAATGGTTACAGCATCAGGCTATAAACTTAAGAGACCATGAATTCTAGTCCTGCTTAGGCACAAAATCAGCTGGGTGACCTTGGGCCAGTCACTTTCTCTCACTAAGATTTGTTCAAGTAGAATCCAAGAATTGGAAACAACTGAATGGAAGGAAAAAATGAGTCTGCAAAAACTGTCCTTCACATATCCAGAATTCATCCTCCAAAATAAAAAAGGTTACTCCATTGCTTCCTAATTGATGGAGCCTTGAAACAGGAAAGGAAAGAATTGCCATAAGTTACTTCCTTTGTGTATTTCCAAGGGAGAAGGGAGAAACTGGCATTTATGGAGAGGAACACTCTAGCAGTTACTTGCTTTCAAAAAATATTTTCAAAAACTGGTGTCTTAAGGCATGAAAACGTTTGCGTGGAAGACATCTCGTGCATTTATCTGTGTAGGAAAGAGGGGCAGATTTTCCTAAGAGCATATCCACATTACTACATGCTCGTAATTTTCCCTGAGGACATCTCCTGGCCATTGTTTAAGGACAAGTCCTTGAGATGTAGCCTTCCTCACATCTCCATCCTATAACACCAAGTGAATTCTGCTGTTTCTGACCCAATGTTGAAATAGTCCTTTCCAACTTTGGAATTAAGCCTTGCTACCTGTATGATTTATGTCTCAGGAACAGCTAGAATTGGCTATTTTCAGCTACTGAGAGCGTATCCCCTTCTATCTAGCCACTGTCACATTCTTCTCCTGGCCTTTTGGCTTGTGTTGCTGGGCTGATATATCTCCACAGGAAAGGAGCCACGGCACTCCAAAAACTAGTAGAAAGCGCTCAGGACCCCTTTAGAATGACCTGCCTCTCACAGATCATGGCCTACCACTGTGTTAAAAAACTAGTGCTGATTTAGTGATATCAAGACAATCAAGGCTAAAGCAGCATCCAGAATTACTAGAGAATATTGCAAACCAGAAAGTCTCTAAAACCACCTGTCAGTTGAGGCCCTTGTTTCTACATAGCTTTCACATGCAACAGCCACAGCTCTAGCCATCTATCAAAACTCATCTCTCCCCCAGCCCCAGCAGGTATTAAGACCATTAGCACTTACATACCACTCCATAGCCTTCTCTAAGCAGTTTACAGAGTCAGCCTATCGCCCCCAACAATCTGGGTCCTCATTTTACCGACCTCGGAAGGATGGAAGGCTGAGTCAACCTTGAGCTGGTCAGGATTGAACTCCTGGCAGTCGGCAGAGTTAGCCACCACTATAGGAAAATTTCTTGTGACTTCCTTATCACTCCTTATGAGGAGCAATTAGTGGATCTTTATCCCGCGAGGAGGAAATCCACCAATTGCTGCACTGTGAAGAGATGAGAGAAAATAAACCACCTTCATCTTTCTTCCTGGGAGAGGCTAAAAATTAAAGTGGAAGCTTCTTGTCCCATAGATTCTAGGCTAGCAAAGCAGAATAAAGTAACTCTGCAGACATCACCCTTCTTTCCTTTCCTAGCAAAAATGAACACAAGAGACATAACACATTTTCTCCTAGGATGGATCTATTAAGTAGCAGAAAAGTAAGCTTCTTCTTTCCTTTAAAGATAAGAAAGTCATGACAATTTTTTCTAGTTGGAACAGTATGCGTTAAGTTAGCCTCTTTCTACATAGTCTTAAATAAATGCACTTTTATACAGCATGAGGCATCATGTTCAAGTGATAACTTTTATAGACCAATAATATATATTGCCTATAAGGCTGTACTATATGCCATTTATTGCATCACATCCAATCATTAATGTCATTGTTGAGTTGAGATGGCCAAAACTAACTTTAAAGAATAGATGGGGAAATCATTTCTCAAAATGCTTGGTAAGAATGCAACAGGAAGGAAATAAACAATACATTAGAATTGAAATTCTGCAGAAAGAAAATATCTAATTTGTCCAATTTCTGTGCACAGTTCTGGCAATTTCCTTCAATTCTGCTAGTCAGAGGAAGGATTAAGAAACTATACAGGTCAGTGAAATTCCAGTCCCAGCCACTGCAAAATATTTCAAATAAACAAATTCGTAAGGGCTTCCGAGAACTTGATAGGCATTAAATACACATGTTTAAAAGCACGTTTTCATAAGAGCTTCGCTTCTTCAAAATGAATGAAACACACACCTTGCTATCACTCATCAATTTGGATGCCACTACAGTACTGAAAAAGTATTTCAGTGAAAACTTTGAAATGTTTTAACATGTACTGATCCTGGGGGAAAAAAACTGCAAATACAGGCAGTCCTTAACAACCTACAACCACAATTGAACCCAAAATTTCTGTTGCTAAGCAAGACATTTTTAAAGTGAGCTTTACCCCATTTTACGAGCTTTCGTGTCGCAGTTGTTAAGTGAATTACTGCAGTTGTTAAATTAGTAGCATGGTTGTTAAGTGAATCTGGCTTCCCCATTGACCTTGCTTGTTAGAAGGTTGCAAAAGGTGATCACATGACCCCAGGACACGACAATGGTCATAAGTATGAAACTTATTGCCAAGCATCCAAATATTGATTTGGGATCAAATGCTGATCGTTGTAACCTTCAAATGATCACTAAACAAATGGTTGTAAGTCAAGGACCACCTGTATACAGGTCAAACCTTCTAACCTTGCATAAATATCTTCAATGACTTGAAATTGTAAATGTCCAATTAATTCTTGTTAAAAGCTTTCTTGAACATTAAATCCTGCTCTTGAATACCATTGAAGATTTGTAAAAAAGTTGAGTTAAAATAACATCATTCCCTTATATTTTGTATGTAAACTACATGTAGATAATAACACTGCACTGCACGTGTATAAATATAGTCCAGATATATAAATATGTACTGTTGTGTGCATCTAGTTACTGAAACAAACAAACTGCCTTAGCCAACGGTAACATTTCAAGCTAAATATATATAAATATTTATTTTTTAAAAAAACTAGTGAAATAGGAACTTGCACTTAGCTCTCATTATTTTCAATTACCTTGTCACTGTCATCAGTGCAGATGTGGTCTTGATGGATCAGCTGGCACTGGAAGGAAGCACCAATACCACCTGCAAAGAAAGTAAGCAGAAAATGTGCCTTGTGTGAGTTTCTTCAGTTATTTTCACACTTACAATGGAAAATGAAATAACTGCCACTGTCAATGCAGTCACTTAGCAACCCAAACCTAAATCCCCCATAGCTAAGCATTTCTGCTATTTCTTCTCCTTTGAATACCTGATGGAAGCTAAATATATAATGACTCTCTTATTTCCAATTGGTCATTCTCTAAGGATTCTGAGCTATATGCCTATTGTTATATAATAATCAGCTCTGAGCTTTCCTAAATATCCTAATCTTAAGACATTTCTAAATTACCGTATGTAAAATTATATACAACATACTTTTCACACAGGTGTAACAATGGCTGGATTAATAAAACGAAGCTGTTGATTTTTCCCCCCTCCAGTTGGTGATTTATTTGTAAATAATGGTTTATTCTGAGCTAAACTTGTGTCTTTGAAACATGATGGATAGTTTCTAAAAGTAATTGACAATACACAGTGTCACATAATTAAGTCCAAGCAAGATGGCATTAAGATTTACACTGAACACATTTATTAGCTAGTTGCTGAATTGCAGCTCCAGTCAGCAGGGTTGTCGTTTCTGGAGTTATATAATTCAACAACATCTGGAAGGCCACAATTTTACCATCCCTGTGCAGTGACTGTTAAAGAACAGAATAATCTAATTATTTAAATCAATCTATTTACAATTATCAATCTAAAATATAGGTTATTATAGGCTACTATGTTCTTTGCACTGCCATAACTTTATACCTGAAAAATGACCAGTGACAAATTTATCTTTTTACACATCTTGAGAACACGTACATATTCACTACGGAACAATCAAGCCCAAAAGTTCTGACAAAAGCTGTAAGCAGCCAATTTCTGAACCGGATTCCTTGTTTTGAATTAGAGCTCTCAATTTCTTGCTACCATGATGTTATTAAAATATGATTATTGTTTGATTCATAGAATGAATTCCACTGGCAGCACAAGTTATGAATCCATGTTGGCTTCTACAAATAGCAGTACATTGAAACCAAGGCAGGCAAAGCTTTGCCTTAGTTATTATGCATTTTTGCCATATTAATTCAACCAAATTTAATTTCAAGCAATTTGTGCAGTTCTCAATGCTGCAAAAGACTCCTTTATCTTTTCTTCCTTCCTTGTACAGTACTTAAAATGATACTTTTAGCTGATGAAGCTAAAGTAACATTTTGGAGAAATTTCCACAGCATTGTTACCAGTTTAATATGTCACAGGAATTCAATCCCTTGTACTTCCTTCCCCATTTTAGTGCCTGCTCATTTTCCTTCCTGATCAGCCTGACGTATGGATACATAGTGTTCTGTTATGAAGCCACTATTTTGCATTCAGTCAAAACATGCTCAGTCCTACCCAATACTTGGCCTTTGCATGCTGCTAGTTCATGGATCAGAGCCAATTCACATCATTTGAAACCTGAGTCATCCCTCTAGTACACTCACTGGCTTTACCATAGTTACTGGAACAAAGTTCTTGTCATGGCTGTACGAAATATACTGGCTGGCACACAATAAGCTGTTTCAAGCAAACCAAAGTGCAAAGAACTGGGATTTCTACTGTGTTTGTCTTCAAACAGGGTTTCCATTAAGAGCCAAGTCAACTTTCCTTTAAATGTAGCTCGACTCCTGTTTATTGACTCCCAGGCAGTTTTCTTGGCAACTCCAATGAAAATACTGCCTTTTTGTGGGAATTTTCTTTCTTTTTTTCCCCTGCCTGACCAAACATTGAGATATTCCCTGGAATTCCCCATCCAAATAATAACAGGCCTGATTCCATTTGGCTTGCAATTCAACGTAAGGGCAACCAGCTGCTGATAACCATTGAGGTTCTCTTGTCATATCATGAAGTTGTAATTTAAGAAATGGAAATAAAACATGAATGTGAATGGAGATGTCCAGTGTTCAATGTACTCTTTATACTGCCCTGTGAGGATTACATTCCATATTTTACACAGGTAATCTTCAACTTACAATATTTTGTTTAGCGACTGTTCAAAGTTACAATAGCACTGAAAAAAGTGATTTACAACTGTTTATCTTACTTACGAACAGTGTCACATCCCATGGTCACATGACCAAAATTCAGACCCTTGACAATTACTTCATACTTATGATGGTTGCAGTGTCCAAGGGTCATGTGATCACCTTCTGCGACCTTCTGACAAGCAAATTCAATTGAGAAGCCAGATTCACTTACTAATTTAACAACTGCAATGATTCACTTAACTATGGCAAGGTCATAAAATCAGGAAAAATTCATTTAACAACTGTTTTGTTTATCAATGGAAATTTTAGGCTCAATTGTGGTTGTAAGTTGAGGATTATCTGTAGAAACATCTGGGATTGTTCTATTTAAAATGATTACTCTGGTATAAAAAGTTTCGTTGTCATGCAAGATGCTATTCTGAGCTAGGCTGTACGGATAGCCCTTGAGTTACGACCATAATTGAAACCAACATTTACATTGCTAAGTGAAATTTTCTAAGTTAGTTCTGCCCCACTTTACAACCTTTCTTGCAACAGTTGTTAAGTGAATCGTTGCAGTTGTTAAGTTAGTAACTAACACGATTGTTAAGTGAATCTGGCTTCCCCATTGAGTTTGCTTGTCAGAGACCAAAAGGTGATCATCACATGACTTCAGGACATTGCAACTGTCATAAATGTGAGTCAATTGTCAAGCATCTGAATGTAAATTATGTGACCACAGCTGCAATGGTTATAAGTATGAAAAATGGTAATCAGCCACTATTTTCAAAGTTGTTGTTCACTCTGAATGGTCACTAAATGAACTGTTATAGGACTACCTGTAATGCCATAATCTCTGATATTAAACCTTACAAAATGAGTTCTCTTTAGGTTCCCTAGCACACTGAAATTATTTCATTTGAACAAAGCTTCATGATTGAACAATTGCGAATTAAGACTGCAAGCTGTTGAATCTGAGGCATATTCCGAGTTTCCTTCCTTTCCTGTATTCCTTGATTAGGCCAGCGAATACAGAACTCAGCACAGCCTTCCATCTGAGGCAACCATACCATTTTTCTCCTTTTTTGTTTTTGCAAAGCTGTAACTTGCTCCAAAGCATTGATGCTTCAAGGGAAGGAACAGAAATCTGAATTGATCTCTTGAAAACAAGTTTTAAAACTAGGCCACTGACTGCATAAAATTAGCCTTAGGCAGGCCATGTCCATCTTCCACCAATCTGCAAGTATCTTTTGTTGACAACTTAAAAGCTCTTATTTAGTAGACAACAAGGAGTGTACACAATCAGTTCTTATATTTGGTTTCATAGATCCTTATCTCAAATACCGGTTCCAACAGTGTCTTGCCACAGTGAAAACTTCCCCCAAGCACCAGAAATAAGGGAACTTTCATATCAATAAAATTAAATTAAACTACATCAGGAATTCCCCATCTGGGTATATTTTAGATTTTGAGAATACAGGTAGTCCTCAACTTATCACCACAATTGAGCCCAGAATTTATGTTGCTAAGTGAGAAATTTCTTTTTGCTCTGTTTTACAACTTTCCTTGACACATTTATTAAGTGAACCACTGCAGTTCTTAAATTAGTAACATGGTTAAGTGAATCTGGCTTCCCCATGGATTTTGCTTGTCAGACGGTCACTAAAGGGGACCACATGACTGTGGAACACTGCAACTGTAATAAATGTGTGTCGGTTGTCAAGCATCTGAATGTAAATCATGTGATCATGGGGGATGCAACTGTTATACCATGTTTTCCCCAAAATACAACATACCCCAAAGTAAGTCCTAGCTTGATTTTTACACCTGTGTCCAATATAAGCCCTACCCCCAAAACCAGCCCTAATTAAGACCTCGCCACTCCATGGTGCATGAGTAAAAATTAAGGTAAGATGGGGACGGGTGGTGGTGGAACTGCCCTATTACTTCCCTTCAGACAGTTGCAGCCTCGCACACCTCGACTCCTGCCTTGCTGGCCCATTTTTTCTGCAGCCAGCAAGGTCAGCAAAGTTTTCTTGAAGGCCTCTGCAGCTGATAACAGAGCTCCGGATCGATCCAGAGCTCTGCTTTCGGCTGCAGAGGCCTTCAGGAAAGCCAGGGAAAGGAGGCCAGGGAAAATGCAAACAAGTGAGGTGAGTCAGTGGATGACATTTCCCCCCCCCCCCCAAAATAAGACCTGGTGGCTTTTTCTGTGGGAAAAAAATATATATGTCATTATTTTGGGGAAAACATGGTGTGAAAAATGGTCATAAGTCACTTTTTTTCCATGCCATTGTAACTTTGAACAGTCACTCAATGAACTGTTGTGGACAACTACCTGTATATTGCAATATATACATGTAGTCCTCCACTTAACAGCTGCTGGGGAGCTTTCCCATTTCTAAATGGCTTCCATGAGGGCCATAACTAGTTACAAAATATAGTTACCACAATGCAAACCCATGTAACCACTATTTTCTGTAGGTCGCTATATTTGATCTTGCTTTAATTTATTTTCTGGGAAGATCAGTCTAGTCTCAGAAAAAGTACTGGGAAGCAGCTATTCACAAAATACCATCTAGATATTTGACATGATTAGAAACAGGAGTTGGATTAATATGATTCACCAGTAATTGATAAATTAAAATTTATTTTTATTGTTCTCTGTGAAAGCATTCATTTCTATTATAGCATATTCTAAAGCAAATTAATAGTCTGGGTACGACAAGAGCAGAGGTATTATGAGAACTGCAATGTGAGTCAACATCAGAAAAATGCCTCTGGATATCTTATTTATATTATTCTTAATGCAAAATTTACTGGGACAATGTGTAAATAGCCTTGTTCAATTTAATATGGAACTTTTTCATGCTTTACATTTGACTCGCAATAACTCTGCCAAAATCCTGGGCAATAGAGGTAGTTCTCATTTAGCAATTGCCTTATTTAGAAACCATATGCAGTTACATGGTGATGAAAAAGTAACTTTGCAAC